GGCGCCTGCTCGCTCCCTAAACCCCGGGGATCGACAGAAGTTCGTCGGAATAGCACCAAAAAATTAGGGTTCAGGGGGTTTAGGGTTTTAGGGGTTTAGGGTTTAGGGGTTTAGGGTTTAGGGTATAATAACATCGTTAAAGGAAACTACAGGTGGAGTTTAGGGTATATAGGGCTTCTATGAGGCTTCTACAGGGTATATAGACCTTCTATAAGGCTCCTATAACGGTAACTATACCCACCTGAAAATGTCCTAGACTGGGGTCTGGGGAGTTCAGAAGCAGTGCCTTGAAGCTCTGGGGGCCCTCTTAGGTTCATAGCTTGTGCCCTGAACCCCCAAAGCCATAAAACCCCTAAACTGTTACTTCTTTCAGGGCCGAGGTTTTTGCCAAAGCCTAAACCTTAAACCCTATACCCAATACCCTAAACCCTAAGCCCTAAACCGATCGAGGGAACTCAGGAAGTGGCGCTAAAAGTCATGGAGCGGCCTTACAGACGGAACTGAGTTTCAGGGGGAATCTAGGGGCCTTAATATTCAGAACAAGGTTCCTTTAAAAGGGGTCCTATAAGGGTTAGTATGAGGGGTTCTATAAGAAGGGGCCTAAACAATTTGAATAGGTTTTGGAAAGGAGCCCGCAAATTAGTATTGGCATCGGTTGAGGCCCCTAAATGATGTACTACCCTGCTTATCTAGGAATCTAGGGAATTCTAGGGACTAGGGGATGCTAGCACTACTTATTCCGGCAAGTAGAATGCAGAGTTGCTGGCCGCTGGCCCGGATCCTTCCCGTACATCAGGTGCCGTAGGGTTTGCGACCCCAGCCCTAAATCATCTCACTTTATGTGAAATTGTCGCAGAGTATGCATCAGTATATACCAAAAAAAAGATATGGAACTGATCTTTGAGCTTGCAAAAAAAAGTTTTGCAGGGCCCGTGAGGCCCCGTAAATGGTTGAGGCTTTCCGGATACTTGCGGGGTGAGCGACTCCCAACAACCTTGGAAGTAATGAAGCCTGTACCCGTAGGCCCCGAAGTAGTTCCTTTTGGGGATTACCTTATAGGATTCTAAATATAAACCACAAAAAGAAACTACTTAGGGCCTATGGGTACGCATCCGTCTACGGTCATCATGCTAACTGCAGGGCTTCGAAAGAGGGCCGGGCTGCGTGAGGAAATGTCGCAGACATCTTTGCACCCAGTGTCATGATGTCTTATAAGGGAGGGGGGAACCTGGAACCTCTCTTTGGGGCTTTGGGGTTTGCGAGTTTTAGAGCTCTAAGGTTACAGGAGCTAAGGCTTAAAGGCTTGTGGAACCGGCGACGAGACGCCTGCAGCAAAAAGACTAAGAAGGTAAGGCTTCCGGCTTGAGCATGTAAGGTTCCTGGGGTTCATTGTATCCGGAGGAGCTCCCATGAGTTAGAGACCCTAAACCTCACACCCTAATCCCAAACATTTTATCCCCGAACCGGCCCAAACACACCTGGTTGGTTCGGACGATGGGTTCCTGTGAAAGTAGTCTAGGGCTTGAGAGGTTTAGGGCAGTTTGGGGCTGGGGTTTTGCTGGTTGGAGGAGTCTCGGGTGTATATATAAGGTTTTAAATAGGGATTTCGGCTTGAGTCTTAGGGCTGTAAGCTTAAATAGAACCCGCTTGACAAGAAGGATTCCGATAGTGCGGACACCAAGCCCACCGGAGTCTAGCATGATCCCCCAATTGCTGGGCCGACCTCTTGCAAGCAATCGACAGACCTGCAGCAAAAGGAGGGTGGCACTTCGTGGAGAAAAAAAAAGTCCGTTCAAGCGGCTGAAACAAGGCAGTCGGTTTGGAAATTGTACGGCAGCCGTATGGGCTACACCGAAACACCTCGAACACAGGCACGACATGCTTATGCCTACCATCACCATCGCCATGAACATCATAATGAGCAATGTCTTCAACATCACCATCACACTTTTAAACCGTCAACCTTAACCCCACACTGCGCCCCTAAACCCTTAAACCCTGAACCATCGCCCCAACCAGCTTCACTGCCTACTGACCTGGTTCCCCTGACAAGGGATCGATTTTAAGTTGGATTGCAAGGATTTGTTAAAGCCCGGTGCTAGGCTTCAGGATCTTAAGCTTCATGCCCGGAGGTTCGGGCAGAAGTGGTGTTTAAAAAATAAAAACATAGTGCTCATATAGGGTTTAGGGTGTTTGGGGTAGGGTTTATAAGGGTTTAGGGTATAGGGTTTGGGGTGTTTGGGGTTAAAGGGCTACGGAGGCGATCTGATGAGACTTGACTACAAGTTCTCGACTGTCATGCTCGGGCGAAGTAGGCGAGCCGTCCGATGATAAGTAGTGTCCGTAGCAGTATCGATCGCACCAGAAGACTAAAAGAGCCAAAACAAGTTCCATTTGTGGTGTTGTAGCTTATGGGCCCTAAACCCCAAACCCTAAACTCAAAGTTGTTCATGAGGCATGTCCACAGCAGCTAGAAGACCTCTATTCTTGCATTACCAAGGAGCGACAGTTTAGGGGTTTAGGGTTTAGGCAGTCATTCCTCCTCCCTTCAATTTCCAAGAACAGTTTAGATGTTGCATGGGCATTGGACCACTAAGTCACATAGGTCGGAGTACTGGCTCCGAGCAAGGGCTAAGGTCACAGAGTCGCTCCGGCTGAGGTGATGGAGAAAAGCAAAGAAAACGTCGTTTTGACCCAAAGCTGGGATGTCAATCTGCGGCTGTGATTGCACCTCTGGGGTAGATAGAAAGATAGCGCCAGCGTTGCCATGGTGTGTTATCATCGGCATCGGGTTGTCCGAGCCGACCTCTCAGTTGTTCAACCGCCGCCAATTGTGCAGACTGGGGTTCAAAAAGGTTATAGGGCCCGACCTGTGATTTCCAGTATTTGTACCTCTGCTCCCACTGTCTCCGAGCGTGGGGAATACCGTGTATCACAGACATGCCCCGTTCAACCAGATCGAAGCGTATGTGAACGAAGCTGCCCTTGTCTTTAGCTTCCATCTGTGCTATACCATCCAGTTGCTGAACAAGTCTTTCGATGTCCATCTTCTGGAGCTCCGAGAAATCAAGGATCTGGCTCACCTTTCTCAGGAGAAGGCGTGTTTCATGCAGTTCTGCAATCATCGCCTCAGAGACGCACCTTTGAATTGTGGCAAGATGCCCAGCATCAGCTACGCTCTGGAGCTTGGCCCCAAGAACTTCAACCGGGTGGGTGTCCGACTCTAGGTCGAATGCGTCACGTAGTTCGGGGCATACGTCTGTCTGCTGAAGCCCTGCAGATATCAAGGCGAGCGATGTGTTTCGGCATTGCTCATAATATTCCAGGTCCTGAGTGGCTGTTTGGTTTGCACTTCGACCTCGAACTTCTGAACAGGCAGCCGCTCACAATGATTCATTATGCGCACGCCACTTTGGGAAATGGCCGGTGTCAGTAGAGTTCTTAACATGGATGTCGCTATGTCGGGTGCTTCACGTTTCGGGGGTTTCTGAATCAGGTTTTCGCACGCGACCAGGCGTCTTCGTCTCCCAGATCGACGAGCGTCCGGGCGAACGACTGGTCCCACCACTGCACACGCTCCATGTTGATCTGACAGGGGTCTACTAGACTTCATGTACCAGCCCCAACCCTAAACCCTACACCGTAAAACCCTAAAACCCTAAAACCCTAAACCCTAAAACCCTAGACCCTACAACCCTAAAACCCTAAACCCCTAAAGCCCTAAACCCGAATACTAAACCCGTTGGCAAAACCCTGAAACCGACAAGCCCTAAACCTGCAGGGAGTCGAGACTCGAATTGGTTTAGGCTTTGACAGAGGGGGTGGTTTGGGGTGGTTGGCCTGAGGGTTAACGGAAAGAATCAGCTGTTCAGAGTACTTGCACTTGCGGATAGGCTATAGTCGGTATAGTGCTTAGGATTTCGGAGGGGGGATTTGAGGGGCGAATCTTGGCGCCTCGCACATGGATCGGAACCATCGGATAGAGAATTTCCGTCCCCTGTACTTCCGCACGTAGCTGCGCCAGTTTCTCAAGAAGTCCTTCGTCTGAAGTTTGATAAGGGCTGAACTTAGTCATCACCCAAGCCCCCCAAAACCCAATTCCCAAAAGGGACTCCCTAAACTCTAAACCCTTAAATTTAAAGCCCACCAACCCTAATCACAACAAGGCACCCAACCCGAACCAGTGGCATCCACATGGAGGCAAGCCCTGACCTCCTATGACAAGAGCCCCATCTACAGGCTTCTTGGGTCCTGAACAGTTAGAATAGGGTTTGGGGTTTAGGGTTTAGGGTTCAGGGGTTTAGGGTTCAGGGGTTTAGGGTATAGGGTTTTGGGGTATATCAGAGTATATATGTCGGGGGCTACTCGGGACTGCTATTGCCAATACTTGCGATTGAAGCGAGGAGTCGGTGAGGCTAAACGTCTGCAGTGGTGAAGTCCAAAGGACAGCCACCAGCACAGCAACTCCTAGCCAGCGCGAGCGATGCGACGGCATGGGTGGCTCCACTCACGCCCAGCAAAAGGCAAGGAAGCGTATGGTTTTGACTGCAGACTCCTCCTAACCCTAAGGCCTAAACCGCTAAACTCTCGAAGTCTGCCCTAAACCCTAAACACTAAACTTTCAGCCCTAAACACCGTAAACCCTAAACCCTAAACTATAAGCCCTAACCACCGTAAACCCTAAACCTGGAGAGTAGAGTTCTCTGATCTGGGCATAGCTTGCTCTCTCGTTGCCCCTGCAAGAGTACATAAACAGGAGTTTCCTTTTTGCGGGGAACCCATGAAAAATAACTCCCTGACTGCGACCAGTCGTCTGAAAAAACAGAACAGCACAGCTAAAGGAGCTTCAGCTCTGTGGGATGAAATGAAAACAACCCTGTCTTGGGGCCCATTCTTAAAGGCCCCAAGCCCAAGAAACGTATCGGATAGTTCAAATCCAACCATAATGTGAGCCTTGAAAAGAATGGGAAGTTTTCATATTTCTTAGAGGGATAACTCGTTATCATAAGGAACCCTGCGACTAGTGTACGATTTCTTGCTGACCCCATAGTAGTCTCGGCGAGACGAACAACTAAAGACTGCCAAGCAAGCATGAACCTCGAACCCTGGCTTCCTGATTGCAACATGTACCCGTACAGGGCTTAGGGTTTAGGGTTTACCCAAAGGCTAAGTAACTTCCTTTTTGTGGTTTCTATTTAGGATCCTATAAGGTAATCCCAAAAAGGAACTACTATGGAGCCCATGGGTAGGTACCACAACCCCCCAAACCCTGAATTTGGATGAGAGGAGCCTGTGCGTGTCTCTCTGTGTGTGTGCGCTTTCCTTCAGCTGCCTCCTTGGGGTGTGCGTGGACCCAAAAGAACCTACCTTTTCAGTTATGATTTCCTGATACAAGTCTTCAAAAAGGTAAGATTTGCAGGGTCCAGGCATTATAAGTTCAGATTTTGGTGGTTTAGCTTGACTGTAAGACCGCCTCGATCCCGTTTTGCTTCAGTCTCAATGCAAGTCAGCTCCAAGTCCAGACTAGGCTCAAAACTGACAGTTAAGAGTGGTTGTTCTTCAAACCCGAATCCATGAACCTTCGCTTAAGGAGCTGAATACGGATGACACCAACTGGTCTGTAACGGGGGGGTTTGGGGTTTAGGGGTTTAGGATTCAACCTAAACCCTGAACCCTAAACCCTAAACGCTAAACCCTAAACCCTAAACTCTAAACCCTAAACTCTAAACCCTAAACCCTAAACTCTAAACCCCAAACTCTATAAACCCTAAATTCTTAAACTCTAAACCCTAAACCCGAAACCCTAAACCCCTGAACGCCTCAACAAAGAGCCTTAGAGATCCAGGCTTTTGAACGCTCTCAGGCCTTTAGGGGAGTTTCGGGAAGCTTACGGGTGTAGGCTTCAGGGTTTGTAGGGTTTCGGGGTTATTCTAAGGGGATTTTAGGGGGGGTTTTAGTGGGGGAGTTTAGAGGTGTAGGGTTCAGGGTTTAACGATTTAGGGTGGCTTAAAGGGGGCTTTATATAATTAAACGGGATTTTAGGGGGTTTAGAGCTTTCAGGTCTCCGGATTCCGTCGGGGTTCGGGCTCCTAGTTTATAGGGTCTAGGCGCCCTAAACCCTAAACCCTAAACCGGGTTTAGGGTTTAGGGTTCAACACCCCAGCGAGCTTCCAAACCTGGAAAGCTCAGGTATTAGGTGAATTAGGTGCAGGATTCCTGGAACCTTCCACAGGTCTTCCGAGGGTCCGGCTTAAAAGCTTTGTCACGGTTTCGTGCAGCACAACCTCTGCCTTGGATCTCTGCAAGCAAAATGCAGTTCAGGGTTCTCTTGAACTACCAAAAACCTGCTCTTTCGATCTCTTTCGTAGGGTCCCTATGTATTCCATACTACGGCTTGTAGTACGTAAGAGCCGACAAACATGAGGTTAAGGTATTTTCAGTTGAGGTAGGGTCCCTGATGTCGGGTTCTGGACACAGTCAGCACTGAAGGTACCCTAAATGCGGGAAATGTGGCTTTTCTGTCGCGTGTAGTGCAGGATGTTGTGCACCAGGGCGATGATGACCGCAGGCCGGAAGCAGTGCAAGCAACAAAACAAAATGCAATCCTGGAGTACTCCGTACATTCTAAATGGAACCAAAAGTTATGCGTACTCTACACCCTCCGGCTCTCTCCCCTTTTAACTTCGAGTCAGAAAGGCATCCCAGAATAAGTATTATCTGATTATCTATAGTCTTTAGACCCCCAAAGAAAAGGTACTGCTTCTATACATCTGGGAGCTTTAGAGATGACCTGGCTGCGCGGCTTTTGGGTGTGGGTGCCAGGGACTTAGGACCGTGCCCTAAACCCGAAACCCCTAAACCCGAAACCCCTGAATCTAAACCCCTAAACCCTAAGCCCAAAGCCCCAAACCCGGAACCTTGCAGCTTTTTGGGCGTTGAAGCCTGGCTAGAGACTCCAGGGTTTAGGAGTCTAGGTCTTTAGGGTTTAGGGTTTAGGGGTCTTCAGGGTTTATAAGGGTTTGGAGTTTAGGGGTCTTCAGGGATTAGGCTTAGGGTTTAGGGGTCTTCAGCGTTTAGGCTTAGGGTTTAGGGGTCTTCAGGGTTT